TACCAATGTTCTTGTGGATCTGTAACAGGCAATAAAAATATACGCGGAATATAGTGACCTAATTTTTAATTCAGTGAAGTAGTTTCTACAAGATTCCTTATATCCCACACAAGCTAATATCCGTGTGTCCTTTTTCTGTATTCGGAAAACTTTAAGTGAGAGACTAGAGTTTTCCATAGTCGTATACCATAAGTAATGTGTGAATAGAACTGGGCAAAGTAAGATATTCTCAATGCTTCGAAACTGGTTACTTTTTTCACTTGTCTCAGGAGATAGAGTTGATTAGAAAGTTCAGAGCACAGTTGGTCAACATGACAGTTCCATTTCAAAGAATGATCCAAGGTTATACCCAAAAGTTTAACTTTATTAGCTGTGTTCTCACGACAGCTAGTTGAAATGGAAATCCTTTGGAATTTATTCGGGTTTTGTTTCAATTTGTTTGTTAGAAACCATTCTTCCGCTCTACGCTCCGCCAATCTCATTGAATTTGACAATATTTGCTTATCAACATGTGATTCGTATATAGCTACATCATCTGCAAACATCATGCATGATGACGGTGACAAGTTTTGCGGTAGGTCATTGATATATAAAATAAATAGGAGAGGGCCTAATACAGACCCTTGGGGCACCCCCTGTTTGATGATTCGAAACATTATTTGAGAATCCTGGTATTGCACTGTCTGGAATCTTTTGGTAAGGTAGGAGAAAAATTCGTAAGCTGTTCCGCGTATTCCGTAATATTCAAGTTTCTGAAGAAGTAAGTATCATCGACTTATTAGAAAAAAACAAGAATCAGTCATTTGGCTGCAGATGCACATCTTCAGCGGCAGCAGGAGGTTGTATATCTCAATGAGGATTTCGAATTGGGGTGAAAGTAATCAGGTTCAGTTCAATGCCATGAAAACCCAGGCATCAGTTTTTCAAAAAAGGTAAGTGTCTCCGAACCGGATACAATAATGCCGGGACAGACAATTTCGCTAACACATCAGCAACTTTTGATGCTTTATAAAGCTCAGATCAGACCTTCTTTGGAGTATTGGTCTCATGTATGGAGCTTCGCCCTTAAGCATATCCTGAAGCTGTTGGATTTCTTCCAGAAGAGAGCTATTCGCTTGATTGGAGAAGCGAACATCATTTGCAACCTTGATAGTCTGGAACATCGAAATAAGCGACTGACTGTGACTGCTCATCCTTCAACTCAGTACACCTCGAACTTCACTTCTTGAGAACTCTTTCATTTGAAGAACTGCGTGTATGTGGAATAATCGCCGCTTTCGCACAGACACCGATATTAGAGCGCCGTAAGGATTTTCCTATAGTGTTTGTGTTCTGGTTCTTTGACGCTGGCGGAAATTTCAAATATTTCTCATTTATATAAAATTGCATCTATAGCGCTGTAATTCGTCATTGTTATTTATGTCTTTTAGTACTCTTTATTCATAAAAATGATATTTTTGAGAATATGTTCGAGAAAAATGTACCGTTAAAATTGACGTCCCTAACTTGCTTGCTTCTATCCCTCGCCAACATGATGATGATGGTGATGTGGGGTGGAGGGGTTTGGCAGACGTCCTTGACTCATCCCAGGGGAATCTATATGAGTGAATCTTCTTCATCCATACCTGAATTTTACGACCTTCAAAACAGAACGTCGATTTTTCATTTTTATTTTCACTTCTCAAATGTCGCCAAATAAGTTATTTTTTTAAGAGAATTTTCAAGGTATCGATTTGCCACCGATATATCCTTGTAGTCGGCAAAAAAACATAGATACATGAAAAATGAGCTAACTCTAACACTAGCCAAAATGTTTAGTAAACAATATTCATTCCATTTTTCATATATTTGATAGACAATTTATGGATGAAAGAATCAAAAATTCAATGTTACTCGCAATATCTCGCAATGGAATTATTTTTTACACAATTTTATTGTATAACTAAAAGGTAATGAAAGACATATTCGTGACAAATTTCAGCCCTATTGGTGTGATTTTGGAAAAATGTCTGAAATTTCCGCTATTTCAAATTTTTAATTGCTTATATCCAACCACGTTATGGTCGAATTTGGATTTGATACTCCCCAAAATGGCCGCCTTAAAAAGTTCTATAATGAAGCCGAAATAGCATCAAAAAAACTGTTTTTTTTTTATAATGTTTTCGATGTTTCAACAATGTTCCCAGTGTTCAAAATGGAAAATATCTTGACATTATATTAAGTTGTTTCAATAGTTTTATACGTTTCAATGTCATGTGTTTCTGAAGCTCTATATGTCAATAAATGTATATTCTGTTGTGTCTTGTGTACTATACAGGGCTTTTCATGATGAGCGTTAAGTAGCCGTTTCTGACAAACTATTTAACGGATCAACCTGAAAATTTCACAGTATGCATAAATCAATATGACCTACACGCCTGAAATATTTCAGACGAAGCTCCGTTGTCGCTTCTACTATAAAGTAGCGGCTTCTTTGATTTTTCAAATGGAACACCCCGTATATAATATCATATTATGATTCATTATCACTTTGTCAACAAATTCATATACTATTTCCCTATACCTATCTTTTACCGTTTAGAAGATATAAATTAATTTCGATATTTTTTTTACCAAACATGAACTTTTATAAATGCTGATAATCTTGAACTCTCTCGCACTAAAACGATCAAATTTGAAATGGAGTGGAGTGATATTATGAGGATCTTCACTTCGAGTCATATTTTCATTCGCCTCATACAGGGTCTTCAAAAAATGCAGATACTTTGATCTCATGAAAAAATGAGTGGGACTCAGAAACGGCTAATTAACGCTCATCATGAAAAGCCCTGTATACATAGATGCTGTCCATCGTTTTCACAAATTTAAATGTTTTGCCTCTCTTCAACATACTACTATATGATGTCGTTGAGAGATTTTCGGACAACTTTCAATGGCTTGAAATGTAATAGAAAGGTCAAAAAGTGATCGCACCACGATTTGAACGATTGATAGAAATTGTCACGATTCAAAGACTGTTATTCTTTGCTTTTTCACGATCAAAACACATCCTTTTTTGAATCGGACCGTCTTGAGTGATGAAAAGTGGATCCTCTACGATAACAAGAGATATTCAGGACAGTGGCTGGACACCATCAGGCCACCCAGGCACCAAACGTAGATCATGGTTACTGTATGGTAGTCAGCGACTGGTGTGATTCAGTATAACTTTCTGCAACCGGGCCAAACCATCACAACGCCTGTCCACACGTTGCACACGTTTGCCGCATCCACCATACTCTCCAGACCTTTCATCCACCGACTACCATCATTTCAAACAGTTCAATAACTTTCTCTCCGGTAGAAATTTCTCCAATCAGGACCAGGAAAAATGGCCATCGAATCCCGAACAGACAATGTTTATGCTGACGAGATTAATCGACTTGAATAACGTTGTCAAAAGTGCGGTGATTGTAATGGCGCTTATTTCGATTATATTGAATAGGAATTCACTTATAGTTGGTACTGAAACCTCTGGCGTAAAAAAATTTGTTCTGGTGTTTGGAAAATGTTTTCAATGGATGTATTCACTGACATATTACAGTTCAAAACATAAAAACGGACAAAGTTTTTGAAACAACCTGAATGCAGTGCGTTCATATCTCACAAGTTGTTCCTTTTCGAAGATAAAGCCCGCACAGGTCGAGTTTATATTCGAATCTCCTAGGTATTTAAAAAAAATATTCACCACCACTTCAAACACTACACTACAATGTTACACTACACTTTGTAATACTACAAGTTACAGCGAACAGAGTATTAAAGAACCCATTGTTCATATTTCCCAACATTCATTATCAATTTCAAAATTTAAATCTGAGAATTACTTTTCCATCATATTCGGATCTTCCTGAATGGCAATCTGACCAACATATTTCACACCTGCTAGTTTCTTTATGAAGAGATGACCTTCACATTTGTATAAAAGAATATTTCAATGAATATATGACCGTGATATTTGAATATTTTCGACTACGGTTTGAGTTTGAGTTATATAACTATTATTGTCCCAATCTGAAGTATCTGTTCATCCAAAAAAAAATTAAATTGTAACAAACATATTTTTGAAATCTACAATTTCATGTGCAAAGTACAAGCATAAATCTTAATTTTTCATTCTATATTTCTGGTCACAGGAAGGCGTCTTTCTGAAATGTGTCACAAAAGACCCACTTCCCAAGCCACACATTTGAATTTCTTACCTACCTAAAACTGGGGCCACACTAGCGGCTAACGTCAATGCCCATTATTGCGATTATTATCGCGATAATTTTTAACGCACTAAAGTGGGTGGCTACACTTAATACGGTCAACGTGAATGTCCATGATTGACGATAGAATCGGCGTTAATTTTACTTGGAAGATGGACGTCTTACGTAGTGTAGCCGCTTTATCGCATTAATTCTCGCGTTAATCTCTTTGATGTACCGCCACTTGAGCTATCGCCTAAAGCCAAACGGCAACGTTACTGCCGTTGTCAAATCATCGCGTTAAGTCGTGGCTTCACCTACGGTTAACGTCCATTAATGGTGTGGCCCCAACATAACGAAGACAGTCCAAACTGACTGCCGATCAGGTCCTCCTTATATTGAGGAAAATGTAGCATGTTCCGTCAACCTTGGAGTGGATTACTCTTCTCATACTCTGTGCCTGCCAGGACATGGACTCGATCATGTTTTCAGCCTTTGGTAGTGTCCCAATCTTGCCAGCTGACGCGAAACAATACTCACCATTGAATGAAGTAATTGGTTCCGTTAAGAAGTGGATTCATTTGGTCGAGTATCAACAGGTGCGGGTCCCGATAAATCCTTGCGATTTACTATGGACCTACATAGTCTCAACAGGTGTGAGCCACAATAAACTCTCGCGAGTTGCAGTGGACCTACCTACCTATCTAGGTAAAAAATCTGTTTTCCCGTTAATCAGCTGTCGCCGCACAATATCGAAATTAGACACATGAAAGCTATTAAAACAATATATTCAGTACTTGAATATTTACATGACAGATCATAGTTATTTTTGAAACATTTCGCAAACATTAATTTTTTAACATATTGCATATCGACAAAAGTTGTAGTTGATAGATCAGAATATCATACATTCATATGATTGATATAAATGGCCAATACTATAATGTATTCAAGTTGACACTCTATTGTGAGATTTTCACTGGACAGTTAACAAAATGCAACACGTGTTTCATTACGGTTTAGCTTCCTCAGGCGTGTTCATACTGACTGAATTCTACCTAATTAGTGCTTTATTTTATATAAGAATTTGAATCTTATAACCCACTACCTGCGTCTAGCCCTTGAAAATTTGAACAATATAAAAGACATTTTACCTACTTACTCATCGAATGGGCATGTAATAAACTAATCACTCATTATCACATTGAAAAACAGATTACACAGATTAAAATAATTCTTTTCTATTCGGTCACACCAGAATTCTCAAATTTATTTTAATTTCCTTGCTTCCAAAAGATTGAGTTTCAATCCTTCCTATTCCAAATGTAATATATCATAGTCATGGTTCGTAGATGTGGAATCGATCTTCACATTCATGAAACTACTCATATGTTCTTTTGTTATTCGGAAGAAATGTTTTCCGTTTGGCCAATATAAAGTTTTGGGGGAAAACCACACTTAAGTTGACGATAATGACGTATTGCATTTGAAAGGGAAAGGTTTGAAATTCAATCTGTTCGAATCCACAGAAATTGGGAATTCTCAAAATTTACTGAATGATCAAACAGAATTAAATTCTTTTCTTCTCTTGACTCTGTTTTCTGATGTGGTTAGTTTATTACATGTTCATTCAATAAGTTGGTGAAATTCCTTTCAAAATAAATTTTATTTAGTGAATGCCTATACTCAATTAAAATTGACAGTTATTGAATGGGCAGATTGTCATATGATTCAAATTATATATCATATCAAGCACTAGTTGGGTATAATTTGATAAGTATGAATTCCTGTTCTTTTTCGATAAAATTTCCAGTGAAAATCTCCTAATAGCATTGAATGATGTTTCAAATTTCCGAAAAAAAAGCAAAGTTAGAGAAGTCCTTTCAAACTGAAACGCTGAAACGAATATATGGTTCTTGGAATACATAAGTCTTATTGAAGGGATCGAAAAACTGTCAAAAAACTACTATTCTACAACATAGAAGTTGAAATGCTTGTTCGTTCATACACATATTAAAAACAATCAGAATACGATACACTTCACAACTTTTTGGCCTTCTTAGTCTCATCCTCTAACAGAATCCTTCTGAACAAAACATCTCTCTGTTCTCGCAGAGGAATCCCGATAAAATCATTTCGGGTCCAAGAGAAACTGCCTAAATCTGTGAAATACCTTCTCCCCTCTTCCACATTGATTTTGTCGAGTAAATTCTTGGAAATATTCGGTACCAAGGGCTGAAGGAGAATTCCTGTAGCTCTCAAGGTTTCTAAAGTAACGTGGAGGACAACATCCAAGTCTTTCTGAGTTTCTGGGCTTTTCGCAAGTACCCAAGGTTTCAACGATTCGAAGAAGAGATTAGCAGCGTGCAATGTTTCCATTACTGCGTCTGCCACCTTGTAGAAATTCAAGTCGTCGTAATGGATGCGGCATATTTCTGGAACAAAGGATGAAGTCACATTCGAGGTGAAATAAATTATATTAATTGCAGGCATTATTATTATTGATTTGTATTTTGAAGTAGGTCTTCGGGTTAGAGTCATCAAATTATATTAATTGCAGGCATTATTATTATTGATTTGTATTTTGAAGTAGGTCTTCGGGTTAGAGTCATCAAATTATATTAATTGCAGGCATTATTATTATTGATTTGTATTTTGAAGTAGGTCTTCGGGTTAGAGTCATCACCCGAAAATGATACTAACAATCGAAACGTCGTGAAGTAACTTGGCTTGAAAACTTTTCATTATTTTCATTTTAGTTGTTCAATTTTCATTTTTTTTCTAAATTTTAATTTCATTTCATTGTACTCCTATATTAATGACGATAATAATAATAATAAGATTATTGGAGTTGTTGGTGGAATGATGCCCTCTCTACTCTCGAATCTTAAAATCATACTGGCTTGCCGCACTAAGGCATAAATCTTAGCCGCACAGATGCAGAAGGCTATCATTCTTGGCTCACTGCGCTTGCTCAGGGCACATGATTCTCGGACCCAATGATCACTTACCCCACGGTTTGGGGAGTGGTCGTTGATTGATAATGCTGGCGCACCCTCCCGAATGTATCGGGGCTTCGGGGGATTGGGTCTGACCAGCACAGCGGTAAAACAAAAATAATAACGAGGTAGTGACAACTCTGTCACCGAGTTGGAACCCGTTCAGCAAAAAGCTCAAATAAAAGCCGCAGAGATCACCTCACTTCTGCGGAAACACAAGGATAACCCAGTGCATGGGGTCTTCTTCAATATCAATGAAGACCTTTGCTTATCAAAGCGCCTGACTTTCGCTTTTCTCAGGTCGAGTGGGCTGAAGTGGGAAAACGAAGGGTTCATTATGGCTTGCCAGGATAATGTTTTTAACACTTTAGTCTACCGCAGTCGCATGATGGGTATAGAGGTTCCTGTCACAAGGTGCAGGGCCTGCCGCGAGGCGTCCAAGACCCTAATGCACTTGCTATCAGCATGTCCAGCATATGCGGTCTCGGCCTATATCCATCGACATATCGCGACCCTAAGAGAGCTATATTACCATCTTCGACACTCTTACGGTATTGACGAGACATCGGTGTTGTCCCACGCTCCAGGAGATATTGAATCCGTTATGAGAAACAAGAAGTGCCGAATTTATTGGAAATATTCGTTCCCAACCCTCAGGCTCATACAAGCTAATAAGCTTGATGTAGTCCTTCTCGACCACCAGAGCAAGACGATATTTGTCCAGACCACTCTGTCAAGATGGTTGTTCTGATTATTGGAGTCCTTGTTGGAATGATGTCCTCTCTACTCTCGAATCTTAAAATCATACCGGCTTGCCGCACTAAGGAAGAAATCTTAGCCGAACAGATGCAGAAGGCTGTCATTCTTGGCTCACTGCGCTTGCTCATGGAACATGATTCCCGGACCCTATGATCACTTACTCCACGGTGTGGGGAGTGATCGTTGGTTGATAATACTGGCCCGCCCTCCAGAATGTATCGGGGCTTCTGGGGATAGGGCCTGGATCAATGCCAACTACGGTGAAAAAAAAATAATATATTTATTCAACAAATGACAGAGTTAATTATATAATACATGATAATTTAAGCAGGTAGTGAAATGGTTTTGATGATTTTTTTGTACATAATTTACATAGTATTATATCATGAAATGAAATATGAATGAATAAACATAGGTGATAATCCACAAAAACATATGCTTGTCGTAGAGCAATGAAAGAAAATAATCATAGTATATAATGAAGGATGCTGACGAAAGATCAATTAACGTATACATATACATACATACATATACACAAAGCTATTTGAGATTTATAGTATCGATACTTTTTCATTGAAGACAACTCAGTCTAAAATTAAAAAAAAAACCTCTGTAGAACAGTCTTTTGGTCCTATGGTATTATTTCAGAATATATTCTTTATATCGATCAGGTGATGGGTAAATGATCTGGGAAGATTTGAAATCCAAGCCTTGAATAGGCTTAGCGAGTTGATTGTTTTCAGTTCACTGGAAACTGCATTGTATACTCTGGGTTTGAGAAAATATGATAAACGTTGGGATATTGTTTTAGAGATAAAGGGTACTGCGAGGTGGTTATCTCCTTTCCGAGTATTATATATGTGCACATAGTAATTTTTATGTTCTGGAATATAATTGATCTTTCGAGTAAATTATCTTCAGTATCCATTTCTGGAGTACGTCGAGTCCATTCATTTGATTATTGTAGGCACCTCCCCAAGCTAGTATTCCGTACCTCAATTGTGATTCCACCAGTGCGAAGTATAAAATTCTCAAGTATCTTATTTCAAGAAATGTCTTGATATGTTTAAACTTTGCTATGAGGCTTCTCAATTAGAAAGTGAGCTTTTTTATGTGAGTGTCCTATTTTATGTGACTATCTAAGTAGACTCCCAAGTATTTTATGTTTTTGATTATGGGTATAGTGAAGGTGTTATTGTCGGTGATTGATAGATGTGAATTATTCTGAAAATTGGTTCTGGTGATTGAAAAAGAAAGACCTTTTGTCTTATCGAAATTAATTCTTCACTGCAGACTCCCAGATCATATTTTATTACCATGATAGAATCGAATGATTGATTGAAATTTAAAATGAAAATACTTTTTTTAGCCTATTGTTGTATTCTATTGTATTTAACTGTATTCCATTCGGTTTCATTCAACCATTCCATCGGATTGTGGGTGAAGAGCAGTTGTTCTTATCTTCTTTATTCCCAACAGAGTCATCATTTCCTTCCATAAATCCGATTCGAAGTTGCGGCTCTGATTCGTGTGTAGTTCTTGGGGTACTCCGTGTCTGGCAATTACGTTCTGCAACAGGGCTTCTACCGTTTCAGCATCTTGGTTGGGTAAGGCTACTTACTTCAGGCCATTTGAAGAAGTAGTCCATCACAACCATAAGGTACTTGTTACCGGATGTGGTCATAGGGAGTGGCCCCAAAATGTTGACTGCGATTCTCTCGAAAGGGCATCCACTGAGGTACTGCTTCAACTTTCCTCTTTGGATCCTTCCACGTCTCGACGGCAATTGACCCAATAGTACCTCTCACGCACTCTCGCTAGAGTTCTATTTACTCCAAAATGAGTGCGACCATCGTGAAGCTGTTTGATGATACTCGGGATACACGTCTCAGGAAGGGTCATCTGGAATTTGTGGGTTCTTCAATCCGGGTTTTCCCATTTCCAAGTGAGTAGGTCATCTCGAATGCTCATGGAGTGCCATTGGAGTCAGTAACCCTTTTCCTGCTGGCCGTGCTTGGAAATCTCTTGCCATTCCGGTCTCGCTCCTTTGGCAAATCATTCTCATACAGTTTTCAAAACGGGGTCCTCCTTCTGCGCTACGATGATGTCTTGCCTCGTCAGGAAGGTAGTGTCACCCTCAGACGCTATTAACAACCGTACCACTTCATGGTCAGGTGATTCCTCCAATTGGCTGTACGTGAGGGATCCTTACGGATTTCTACTCTCCGGGTCAGAGGGAACCCGAAGCGGCGGGAGGTAAGGGAGCTTATCTCCCTATCAGAGCTGTCCATAAAGGAGTCTCTGCCCGCTACCTCATCACGTCTGGTGGGAAGTTCTTCTTCTGGTAGCTGGGTATCTTTGCCCTCCTGGCGTTGGAAAATTTGCATCTGGATGTCAGGCATGGTCTTCTTGAGAGGCTATCTGTGTTTCCGTGACTTTTTCCTTTCCCAAGTTTCCGAAAAACCTCTTCAATTTTTTTTTTTCGACTCCTTCAAGCTTCTTTTCAAATTTGCTTCCGACTCCTTCAAGCACCTCTTCAAGTTTCCTTTCAACCCCATCAAACTTCTTATCGACCGTTTGTTCCAATCCCTCCTTCGTTTCCTAAAATACTTTTTCAAATTCTTCCTGAATCCATTCCTGCACCTCCTCTTAACTCATTTGGAAAGATTTCAAATCTTCCAAGTGAGTCATATTGTCATTTTTTGTTTCTTTTGAATATTAAGCAATAATTTACGATATTTCTCTATGTTTCTTTCTTTTCCATAATATCTAGTAGTAATTCACGATATTCGTTTCGGCGTAATCGTTCTTTCTGTCTTTTGCGTTCAGCTTCCTCTCTTCTGCGTTTTTCATTATCTGCCAGGCTCGCTTGCAAAGCCTCAAACATTTTTTCAAGATTTTCCATTCTGTCATAATAAACACTCCTTGTTTTCACTATAAAACAGTAAAATTGCAGTCAACTATTTCACTTCCGACAGCAAATGTTACGTTTTTCTCCGTGGGTTGACCAAAAATTGACTACACTGAATAATCAAACTTAACTTTATTTCACTTTAAATAGAACAAACACTTCAATTAAAACTTCAACTATTATTTGAATGCCTATCGCCTTACTAGATCACCTCGCGTACCGCACTGTAACGTCCACTTGACTGTGTCGATATGCTCGCAGCTAGCGAGCAGATCCAAATGGATTATTTTCGAAACTTCATACGTTAAATCCAGTTCAATAATTATATAGACTTCCAAACTTTTTCATAACACGTATAGCCCGTAATGAGATTTATTCATATTATCAATAATCAATTAATTCCAAAGTCGATATGGAACACTAACGACATTCGAGAATTGAATAGATAGAAGACTATAGATATGTTTCATCACAACTTACTATCGGGAAGTCAAACAGTTAAAATCCCTATCTTTATACACGATATTCTAGTTTCTTGAAGTTCGGGATATTTAGAAAAACAATTCGTTAAATTCTCGGTAGGCATGGGGATGTTGAAGGAATTTCAATATGGGTTTTTTATGAAGACATTTCTTAAGGTTTGATTGTCAGTATAACTTTTCATCGCCTTCATGAACTAGAAACTATTCACATCCATCAATAATTATATTATCAGTGTCAGTGCATTCTCCGTTATTTTTTTGTTATGATTCTGACTAAAAGAGTT